GGAAGAGATTGGAAATGAGGTATTAATATTTAGTGGTTCTTAAAAAATTATGTTAAAACCTGGAATGCAGAACACTTTAGCAGATAAAAGGCTTACTGTGCCTTTAGCCACCCAAGTTGCAGATCCACCAAGTAGATATTGAAGAGCAGTGGGCAGGGGTGAAGAAGTTGGCTGGTCTTTGACTCAAGGGCCCTGTCCTTTTCTACTTAGCTGACTTGGAGCTAGATGAGGTGGAAGACTTCCTTGGAGAGCTGTTGACCAATGAGTTTGATACAGTCGTGGAAGATGGGAGTCTGCCCCAGGTGAGCTTACCATGGGCACAACTGCAGTCTCCCTACCTGCAGTCTTTCTTCTCCCCAACTGTCTGTTTTGGGCCAAAACTCTTGACTGTGACTCTCTGTTGCCTAGAGGAACAAGTGTGGCCTTTCCAAACCCTGCCTTCTTTTATTTCTTTCTATACATCATTCCCATCCAGGCCTGTTCCTCACCCCCATCCCAAGGGCAGGTCAGGCCAGTCCAGATCCATTTTGGCTCCCCAATAAGATTACCTGCCCTTTTACATCTTCTTTCTTTCAAAGCCCAGTTCTAGAGCCTTCCCTGCTAGTTAGGCCCTCTTTTGCTGCTTTAGGCCCTCATGTCATGCGTTAGGCCCTCATTTGAGCCCTTCATATGTGGTTGCTTCATTGGTTAATTCCTTGGGGAGGAAAGAGCCCTGTTCTCTTCTGGAAATATCCAACCTACTCCCGACTGTTGCTTCAAAATGGGCTGTTTGTATAGTAGATTCTCTGGAAAATCCAAACTGGTTGAATATTTTCTTGGTAGGTGAGCCAGCAACTGCAGACCATGTTCCACCACTTCCAGAGGGGTGACGGGGCTGCTCTGAGGGAGATGGCCTCTCGCATCACTCAAAGAAAATGCAAGGTCACAGCCACTGCACTTAAGACAGCTAAAGAGACTGATGAGGATGAAGATGACGTGGACAGTGTGGAAGAGATGGAGGTGAAGTGGGTGCCCCCTGGGTTGGGGATGCAGATGTTTTCAATTTTCTGGGAGAGCAGCTAGATTCACAGGGAAGTGATAAGGGGATGGTGGTGGTTGGTGATAGTAGTGGTATCCAAAGAGGGCAGGGAAGTTTCCTAAAGTTACACAGCCAATCCTGGAAAAACTGGAGCAGAGCCTGGGTCTCCAGTGGCCAGTGTATTCAGCTCTCTTTTAAATCTCCCCTCCAGGTCACAGCTACGAATGATGGGGCTGCTACAGATGGGGTCTGCTCCCAGCCTGAACCCTCTGATCCAGACGCTCAGACTATTAAGGAAGAGGATATAGTGGAAGATGGCTGGACCATTGTCCGGAGAAAAAAATGAGTGGGCATGGTTGGAAATGGCTTTGGGCCCTTATTTGCTAGTTCTGAGAGTTGTCTGTAGGGTTTTTTTTTTTTTTTGAGGATTGTAGACCTGTGGACTGGTTACCCCATCTCTACCCTCTCCCCTGTTCCCCTGTCTAGCTCCCTCCAGGGCAAGGAAACCCTAGGGTCCTTGGTCTTGGGGGTGGGGGGACCTTGTCCAGCACATTCCCTTGGGCCTTTAGTTAACATCTGAGTGACGAAGCCGGGTTCCCCAGTACAGTGTCTTTTGGGTGCAGTCATTGTGAGGAAGGGGATGAGTGAGTGTGGGTGTGGCTGGAGGAGGATCTAGATGCCAGTGGACGGTGGGCAGGTGGATTTGGGGAGGACAGGACCAGCAGCAGCAGCAGTACTCAGTGATAGGGGGCTGGCTGGGTCAGGAATGTGAGATGAACATGCAAGTGGAAGGGAGAATAGGTGAAGATGTGAACGAAAGTAGCTCTGGAGCCTTTCCCTTACCCCACCCCCCACACACGCAACAACTCTGTACCCCTGCCCAGAACTTGGAACCTCCCAGGAATTCGAAGACCTTGGCTAGGTGGTGAGCTTGGAAGGGCTGGGCTTTGTTTTCTGTCTCCTGTAACCTGTTTCCTTACTCCTTATCCCATCCCATTTGAGTTCAGGAGTGAGGCTTAAGATCTTAATAAATAATACCTTACTGCTTAACCTGTGGCTTGACCTGTGAGGAGTAGCCTTCAAATCCACCTTCTGGGAGCTGAGCTTCCGAGTTTACAAGGGAGCGGTTTTCTGAGCCCACCCTAGCAGCCTGGTACTTCGGACAACCAAACAGATGGACGAACGGAGCACAGCAGTGCTATGAAAGTTACTGTAAGCCTGAAATAAACTGTATTTTTCTTTAAAAAAAAAAACACAAAAAAAACGAGTATCCATTGTCTTCCCCCCGTTCCCCTGTCCTGCCCGGTGGCCCTGCCATGGGTCTGGACGATAAAATACTGGGTAGCCTTGGGGCCGGGTCGAAGCTGTAAGCCATGGGAGAGGCAGGAGAGGTCTAGTTGCCACCCCACGTGGAGTTGTACGTGTGAAGACACTGGCTGAGGAGGCAGGGGTGGGTCGGGGCCCCAGGGTCAGTGGCAGAGCTGGCAGTTGAATCCAGGTCTCCTACCTCTGGTGCTTTGTGGGGAATTGGGTGGAGGCAGGATCTGTGCTAGGGTATTGAGGGATGAGGGAGAAAAACGACCTAATTCAGGTGGGTCTAGCAATGGCTCCCACCCTCTCTGGGGACAGGGATTAATAAAAATTAACATCACTGTAGGAATATATTTTTTAAAAGCCCACGTTTTGTGAAAAGATGAATTAAAAAACCCAAGACCCAGCATTCGGGATTGAAAGTGCCCGTGATGGGAGTTCAAGTATTGACTGAGCTGGGAGGGAAGGGGCTAGAGCCCCCAATCAGACATGGGCAGCTAGAGTGTGGGGTGGGGGCTCCCAGTTTGCCCCAAACCCTCTAGGTCTTGTCTCGGGTCTGGGGGGATTCGGGGGGTTCAGCAGTGGCTCCTAAAGCAGCCACCGGTGCCTCCTCCATCTCCCTGTCCTCAGACAGTGTGGGCCCCGGGCAGAACGTGTCCCCTCGGCCCGCCCGGCCAAGCACAGCCATCCAGCGTCGCTGTAGTTCCTCTGTCTCAGGGCTGAAGTACCAGCTGAGGTGGCTCTGGGTAATCTTGAAGACATGCCTTCTGTCAGGCCGCTCCCCTGCCTCGGGTGGTCCCACCTCGAAGCCAATGAGGGGCAGGCTGCGCTGGGCTTTCACATCCTGCGGGGAGGAGGGACAGAGCTGGGGCCACCTTGGGGCTAGACCTTTCCCCCTGCCCCAGCTTCTAACTGGTTTTGCATATGCTCTTGTCTTCTTCCCCTACTCAGGAACCTTCCGTGGCTCCAGTGTTATCAACAGGAACATGTCAGAACTGGGGCTAAAATGCAGGCTGGTTTAAATACCTGTCTCCCCCCGCCCCTGCCTCTTCCCACAAAACTGCTGGGCTAATCTCTTTAGCCTACCAAATAATGTTTTCAGGCCTTTGTCTATGCTATTGCCTCTATCTGCATACTTTTTATTTTATTTTTTTGAGACTCTTGCCCTGTTGCACAGGCTGGAGTGCAGTGGCATGAACTTGGCTTACTGCAACCTCCACCTCCCGGGTTCAAGCAATTCTCCTGCCTCAGTTTCCTGAGTAGCTGGGACTACAGGTACACGTCACCATGCCAGGCTAATTTTTGTATTTTTAGTACAGAAGGGATTTCACCATGTTGGCCAGGCTGTTCTTGAACTCCTGATCTCAGGTGATCCACCTGCCTCGGCCTCTCACAGTGCTGGGATTATAGGCGTGAGCCACCGTGCTTGGCCCCATCTGCATACTCTTACCCACTCCAAATTGGACCTAGCAGTTCCCCATCTCTACTCCTTCCAGGAAGCCAGGCCCACAACTCAACCTGGTTTTCCCTACATACCACAACCACTCTTTGTCTCTAGCCAGTCATTGTCTCTCAAGGGTTGGGGTTCTGATTTCCTCTTAGAGATAGTCTCACCGTGTCTTCCAAAGCCAAGGAGAGGTCAATGACTGGAGGTAAGGGGGTACCCTGGCTTTGCCAGGTGGTGGCTGAAAGGACCCAAAGGAGTAGGATGCATACCTGAGGGGCTCCGTAGATATACAGCACCAAAGGTTCATTTTCAGGGACCACGAACCATGCCTTGTGCCATCCTTTGCCACCCTTCTCCATGTAGTGCAGGAAGCTGCAGATGACGCTGTTCTCCGCAGCCACCGAGGCCTGTTTCTGTGGCCAGAGACACGGGACATCGATGTTGACAGGAGGCCTAGCCTGGCTCCTCCTGGCTTTAATGCCTCCTCAGTGTAGGGACTGCTATTCCCATCTCAGATGAAGACGCTCAAGCTCAGGTGGCAGGAGTGATTTGTCCAGTGCCACCCAGTGAATAAGCCAGAGCTAAGATTCAAAGCTAGGTTTGTCTGCCTCATTTGGGCAACGGCTGCTGCCTCTACCGGCCACTGGAAGGAGTGTGTAGATCTCAGTCAGGCATTCTTTCTTCAGTCAGGGCATTCATTCCTCAAGCCATTCACACATTTAGGCTTCATGTTTTCTTCTGTCTTTCATCACTCATCCATTTTCTACACTCAGTGAGAGGTAATCTAGCATTGTGGTTTTAAGGGGGTATGTGGGTGGTTAATGAAGTCTGGCTTAGAATCCCAGCTCTAGATGAAAATGTATTGACTTGGAAGGAGAGCAAAGAGGGCTGATGTGAGAATTAAATGAATTAATATATGCAAAGTGCTTAGAATAGTTCCTGGCACAGGGTAAGTACTCTTTTAAGTGTTAAATAAATACCTAGATTTATTTTTAAAAAACCTCCAAAATGTGTGTTTGTGCATATATGCCTAGAAAGATAGGATAAGCCCTAACAGTGGTTAACTTTTGGGTAGAAGGGATATGGTATTTTATTATTTTTTGTTTATATTGTTTTACTTACCCTACTTTGTAGTAACAAGACAATTTTTAATTTTCTTTTTTTTTTTTTTTTTTTTTTTTT